CCCCCCCCCCCCCCCTTTCGTTTTTTCCTTTTTTCAATTCACTTGGAGCGCATGGGCACATGTGAGGCTATACGAGAACTAGATGGGGTTGTAACTACTGCAGCAGTGAACTTCACTGTTCATGTTTGTCACTAAGAGTTTCAGGCCTCCAAACGTGATGCCCATCGTGAAGTTCTCTCCAATCGTCTTAGAACGCTGCAGGAACGATCAGAAGGTTTCAAACGTCAAAGTTTTCAATCCTTACATCGTAGAATAACGCTTTTTGTGACTTATGACAGAACTTTACAGCGAAAGACATTCCCATGATGTCTACCAATCGACAGCACGCACCAACACATCCCAAATTCACGGCTGCCCAAAAAAGGTAAATGAGAGGCAAAACTGATGAGCTCCGTAAAAGCAAGAGAGAGAATCACTGCGAAGTAAGGTGATGCCGAAGTCTCCGAACGTAGAAGAACATGGTTTGGTTTAGAAGGATGAGTGCATGGAGAATTTTCTCATTACAGTTATTGTAATGTGGTACAGCCTGGTTTTTTAGGGTATCCCAACCCAGTTTGGTAACGCCTTCGATAACATCGCAGGCATTTTCGTACCTATTCCAACCACTTTCGTATTTCTTCGTTACTGTTCAGCAAGTACTGCAATCAGTTCTGAAGTTATCCTATCCTGTTTTAGAAGTTTTACCGTCACCTCGTATTCAATAATTCCATTCTGTAAACTTTGCCATCAACATCAATAAATCTTCCAAATGAAATCGTAAATTTCGTCGTGTACGATCTGGTAACTGGCCACCCGTCGACTGTTGATGGCACAGTAGACGGAGATGTTCCTGATGAAGTCCTGACTCTATTTGTCTGCTGACATTCTTCGTGGCATCGGCCTCGTTGTGGCTATGGCTGTGTTGAACCAAGCTTCGTCGGAACATTTTGAATGCTCCCTGTTCTTCATCAACTACGGCATAGTCAGCAGAAGGTCGACGCTGAATGTAGCCGAACAGTTGTCCTTTGCTTTCCGAGGGACGGTGCCGCAACCGTAGTCAACCTAGCTTGCGATTGCTTGTTTCTATTCACCGGTAGGCTTCCATATTTCCGCCGCAGCATCAAACCAGAAGACGACCATCCTTGCTATAAATCTTGAGGTAAAGTCGTTTGTCGTTTCTTCAGTTTATACTAGATCGTACACTACGTAGTTTACGAAATTTATTGCAAGATCTATGAAATTGGTGCAAAGTTTACAAAGTGGCGTTCATAGATACGAATTTGACTGCAAAAACTACGAAACAGAATCGGAAATTACGAAAGGGTCAGCCGAATATGTGAGAAGGGATGAAAGAAATACAAAGGAAATATTTCACAATGCATTGCCGTACAGGTTTGTTATGAAGGAACTGTTTACTATGTCGACGTTTCGACTAACTCGTCCTCTTCAAGGACCTGAATGCGGTAGTGAGCTCTTGGTCTGTGGCTTACCTGACCCTAGCGCCCAGACGCACTAGGCCAGTTGCAACTACTTCCAGAAACTCAAACACCGAAGGATCCTTGCCAAGAAACCAACCTCTGCAGTTCCACCAGCGTTGTCATCTCACTACAGCGTTTACAAACTGAGTTGGAGCTTAATAATCATCATTTAACCTACAATGCGCCACGTATTCCCAACATCGTCACGAGTACAAAAGGCGAGACGGCAGCCATCCGCCAGAGGTGTGGTATTCTCTATGCAAATGACGTGCCGCACCAGCGGTAGCGAGCAGGGTGTGCGACGTTAGTCTCGACTGACATTACTTCGCGCCGAGGTGCGAAGTGACCT